TGTTAAAAGGAAGTTTTTCCTTGCCTGTGTCGCCTAGTGCTTGCTCATGGTGGGAATTGTTGGGTTTCTGTAATTAACTTCAGAGTAGGTCTGACCTGCTCTGTTTGGAAAGCTGTGAGACAACTGTTGTTGTGATGTGGCGCTATATAAATAAAATTGAATTGAATTTAATTCATTTTAATTTTGTAATGTCATTGTCTGAACGTGTGTTTGGACTGATTTTGTATTTTGTGGTTTTGTGTTGTTTGATCTTCCTGCCTCAGGACGAAAGATGTAAACTAGCAACTATGCTACAATCTGGCTCATTTACAATCTGTATGAGATTGTTCATTAATGTGCACTGTCCTGATTAAATAAATAAATAAAAATAAACTTTTCTTAATGGGGAGGAGCTGAGATCTTCCTCAAGACAAGAAGAAGAAGAAAAACTGGGAGGATCTTCAGTTAAAAAATGGAGGATCTTTGTCATCAAACAGGAGGTGAGTCCATCTAACTATGAATTCCACAAGGAATCATTTGATGTTTTTTACATTTATTTTAAAACTCCATAACAGTGAAATTAGAGTTTGAGTAAGAAAAGCTTTAAGTTTTTATTACCTCTTTTTGTGGATCCCTCCTTTATGAAATGATAGTGTTTTGGCCACATGGTTTATCAGAGGGGAAAAAGCAGAAATCGTCCATAATGTTGTTTTTTAATGTTCTTTTGAGTCTATTTTAAGTCCCTAACCTTGTTAATGGATATTCCAAGTGATTTTGATGGTTGACTAAACATATTTGCTATTAAATACAACACTTTAGTAGAGTTCGTGGAACAGTTCTCCAACTATTTTTCTGTTTATCAGCAGCTTTTCAGTTTTAGAGGCACAATTGGTTGGGTGTGGTTACATAGTCCTGCTGTCACTATCTTTCAATATGAGGGTTTTGTTGGTTTATTCTTATTATTCATACCATTTTTATTCATTTATGTTTTTCTTTAGGATGTATTTATGACTTTGTATGTTCTCAATGTTGTTTAAATGACGATCGAAGGTTTCTGCAGAGCTCTGTGATTGGCTGAGATCAGAGTCAGGTGTTTTTGGACCAATGGGAATCCAGCAGGGTTGAGAAGTCTGATTTCAGACATAATTCTTCAGCCTCTCAGCTCCATTTTACATCCAAACGCGCCACTCTTCTCCCATCTGAGCGTTCCCTGATTTGTGTCTATATATATATTGCATGTTTTATTCAGTTATATTTATATTCACCTGTTTGTGTTAGTTTTTTCCTCTTATTCATCATCTGTGGCTTCTTATCTCCACTCGATATTCAGCTTTTTTCCGCCAAAACCGAGTCTTAATATCTATTTTTTACCATGAGGTCAAGTATGGAATTTGGA